CACACACACACACACTACACACACACACGCACACACACTACACACACACGCACCCACCCACACACACACACACACACACACGCCCACACCCACACCCACACCCACACCCACACCCACACCCACACCCACACCCACACCCACCCGCGCGCGCGCGCAGTCGCCGAAGTCGAACTCCTCCGCCACCCCTTCGCTCCTGAACATTCCCTGGACGCGCGCTGCTTGACCACCGGTGCCGCGAGGCTGCATGCGCGCCTTGTGGCACCAGCGCTTTCCGATTTCTGACATGTACACGAGGCGCTGCAGGGCGATTACCGAAGAGCCGAAGGCAACAGGTTCCCCATCAAGGGCCCGTTCTAGCGAGCGTGAAGGAAATGGCAAAAGGCATACCGCAAAGGTGCATACGCATACACAGCGGCGAACGAGTTCAGTCCGATATCACAGCGAGTGCGACATGGGGCAAACAAGCGGACCAAGCGGGCTCCGGGCTCCAGTGTTCAAGTTTTGAAGCAAGGACTGCAGGGTGGGGCCGGGCAAGCGTCGCCAACAGAACTGCCGCCTGCCCTGCCGGGAACTCCGCCAGCGGTGAGTGGCGAATCGAACGATTTGCTTGCCACCGATTGCGGGCACACATTGAGGTTGTCCAACCGAAGTTTGACCAAATGCAAAGGCCATGCATGGATTCGATGTTAGTTCAAGTCGGTGCCTGCATAAAAAAGGGCCGCTGACTGATAATTCCACATCCTTCCATGTGCGCATCATGCAATCTGCAGGCGGAACCCATGGTAGAGTATGGAGAACAAGGCCTTTCTGACCGGTCTCCAGACTCGAAGACGCCACGTCACCAAGCGAACCATATTGAACAACACAAGAAAGTTACAAGAACAAACACGACTAACTTTTGCTGGCCTACCCATGTTGACTTCGGGAGAACACGATAGAACGGCGATGAGCCGAAGCACATCGCTTCCCCGGCTGGTACCGGCGCTGTGGCACCAGGTCCATTTGCCGCTGCATGTCACTTGCACCCAAGTCCCCGTGCCGACAGGCATGCTGCAGCCGGAGTGTTCCTCGGAGAGGAGCTGAGAGGGGTGCAAACACAGCAGATCGCAGCGTCGTTGAAAGGTGAAAACAGTGTGGCTGACAACCAGGGCCTCGCAACGCAGCACAGACCTTTGAAAGAGGGTTGGACAGACAGAGACACGCACACCCAGACACAGACAGACACAAACAGAGAGACCAAAGCCCACCACCCACCCACGCATGCACGAGTTGTTCGAAACACAACGGAGCGTCGGCGGCAACCAGTTGGGTTGCGAGGTAACGACGATGGTTTGGCTTTTGCAGGAAATGTGGCTGACTCATACATCAAACTGTCAACGAGTCACGGTCTTTATGCACGTTCATGATCTGCTTCCATGCCAGCAGCCTTAAGGTGTCCTGCCCGTTCTAGGCGCTGTTCATGGCCCCCACGCAGGTGTAAGCGAATCGAAGCCGTGCGCTACCGAAGTGCTGCAAGTCGCCACCGGGGCTCACGACATGCATAGGACTACCGCTTAGTCGGGTAGTTTGGAGAAATATCGACTTTTTGTGTAGTGTGCCGGGGATTTCTGTGCGGGGATCTGGGGCGGAGGTTTCGGGCTCCTGCCGAGATGGTTCAGTGCTGTGCCAAATGGTGTCACACTTGTTTTGACTGCCAAATGCCACTTTGGGCTGTCCGCGACACTAGTAACGACCAGGCTTCGCAGGAAAGAGAAAGTCCTCGATGACAACGTAATCCAGATCTTCCAGCTCGTCCAACATCGCGAGCGACTCCTTGACAGTGTTTGTGATCGGCTTTCCCTTGGAATTGAAGCTCGTGTTCATGAGCACGGCAAGTCCTGTCCGTCGCCCCACGGCCAAAAGCAGTGCATGAATCCACGGCTCGTCTGCATGGCTTACTGACTGATGACGGGCGGTTCCGTCGAAGTGGCTTAGCCCTGGGAATCTTTCCTGCACCTCCTTCCGCACCTTTGGCGCGAACTCCATGTACGGGGAAGTGTATTTGAAGCCGAAGACTTCTTCCAAAGCTTCTTCTGCGATCATGGGTGCGACAGGCCGATACCACTGCCGAAATTTCAACCTGTTCATCCTGTCGCGCATGGCTGCATCGGGCACGGCCAGGAGAGACCTGTGACCCAAGGCTCGGGGCCCAAACTCCTGTCGCCCCCGGACCACTGCGATGATAGGCTTCTCTTTGGGCTTTGGATCACTCGCTTGCTGCGCTGTCCATGCCGGGCCACCTGCGAGGAGCTCTGCCAGGTATTCGACACCACCCAGGGTCGACAACTTTATTGCTCCCCTTCGGGTGGCCTCCGCCGCAAGGTCATCGATGTCCCAAAGCCGGAAACCCAAATACTGAAGTGGCTGGCGTGCACCTGTTGGCGGTGCGATTGCCCAGATCGCCCCCACTGTCAGGCCAGCATCATTCGGAGCTGGGGGCACGTAGACATCTCGTGGCTTCGTGAAGTCGGGCTGCTGCGACCGTGCTTCCGTGAGGGTATCTCTGACAAGCTGATTAGCCAGCACGTTTAATGCACACCCGCCAGTAAGCACAATCCCCTCGACATTCATGCCTTTCGCGTGCAACTTGCTCAGGAAATCATGCTTGATGATGTCACGGACCAAGCCATGAAATTCAGATTGAGCAGTTGCAGCTACCACGCGCTGACCCTCTTCTGATTCGCATACCTTAGCCAACATGGCTCTGGGCAGCCTGTTGTCTTTCTTCGACTTTTTGATGTAAAGCTCTCGTATCAAAAGGCCAAGTTCGGTGGAAGGCTGAGCTACACCAGAGTAGCCCATGAGTTTTCCAGCAAAGGAGAGGATGTGGTAGAGGTTCCAGCGGAACGAAAACTTTGTCTTAATCCAATCATCTGAGTTCTCCTCAAGCACTCGGCACACCCACGAAGTAGTTTCCGGCGTGCCTGTAACTTCAGGCAGCAAACCTCCAAGCATCGCATACGACATTGCCATGTTCATGGACCGGCGAGCAATGCGAGTGACTTCTTGTCCTTTGGCAACGAAGGCATTGAAGTAACCGTCATTCCCACCACCATCGTAAGACAAAATGAACGCAGATCGGAATGGGGACGAAAAGTATCCCATCAAGGCGTGAGCCTCATGATGATTCACGGTACGCCAATGCCTGACAGAGAAAACAGACTCAACCACCGCTGGCAACCACCGCGGGGCTGGAGAGCCACGAAGGTCTGTTCCTCCAAATCCAACCAAGACGCCATAAGCAAAGCTTGTTGGGCATGGTCCCGGGTGGCACTCGCATCGATCGCGCACGGTCTCAAGGGCCTTGCGCCAGCTACTGTTGAAGACGCTCCACTCTGGAGCATAGTACCGAACTTCGAATAATCGCTCAAGCTCGAGGACACACTGTATTCTGCCTCCGATTCCAACGGCAATGCTGGCATCATGCAATACGTCCCCACACCCGCTCAAGGCGAGAATGGGCGTGTCCGCACCATGCAAGCTGACTGGCAACTCAAACTCGTTAAGTTCTCGCGTGCTTGTTCTGGCCTTGGCCGTCGTAGAGCGGCGCACAGCTTTAAAGAAGCTGCTGTTAGTCCAGGGTCCTGGTGCATCCTTCCCGACAGGCAAGCCCACATCGCATGAAGGGAAAATGCTCGTATCGCACGCAGAACTGGTCAGAGCATACACGGGCACCATGGCCACCGACAAGCTGCACAGGAGCGTTTTGCTCGTGGCTGTCTGGCAGTGCATCGGATCGCGCTGCCAAAGCGACTGGTTTAACGAATGTTCGGTCCAGGCATATGAACACCACCGCACTTCTCTTCTGGGACACCAGGTAGGATAGCTTCGAACTGCATGACTTTAACGAAACTAGATTTTGCCGGGTTCATCGCCACAAATGGAGAATGATCTCTTGCTTTCTCTTGGCTTCACGCTGGGCAGGTGTGCTGAAGGGATGAAGCAAGGCAGCCCTTAAAACTCGAAGCCGAACCCTCGACCTGGAAGAGGTGAGTCAAGTCTCAAACCCGAGCCCCAATCCAGCAGCTGAGCAGTTCAACCCGCTTCAATGTTGGAGTGATGGCTTGCTGGGCAATGCGTTCTGAATTGCGGTTTAAGCTAGAAGGCAAGCAAGCCATGCCAGAAGCTCTGGTGATGAGAGCTTAGCAACCCGATGAAGCTCCTGGGAACATGAGTCTTTTGGATAGCACTTGTGACTAAGGACCTGCTGGTTCACAAAGTGTAAGCCCCTTCAGCTGATCGAAGCATGCCACTCTCAAGCCGGCCGCTGTTCATGCCAAGTGTGTCTGGGCAAGACAAGCCTCACCAAATGCACAAATAGTGTCTGCCTGAATACGAGCCCGTCTGTTGGAGGAGTCATTGCGATTCTCATCGGGGGCAGTGGTACTGTCATATTGTAGCCACAGGGACCTGCAAGGCACCATCGATGTCCTATGTGGGTACTTGATGATATCGGCGGTGTCATGGCAGTACCCTCAACCACGTTGCAACATTGCTTTGCAATGTGCCACAGAATTTACAACTGTACATAATTCCACCTACCAGGGTCCAAGTGCAAGTTTCTGAACTCGCTGTCCAGTCCCTGCTCGTCACTCTGCTGACATCTTCACCGGCTTGCCGTCATCCTGCAGCTCAGGCAGGGCTCGCTCTTCACTAAGCGCTTGTACCTAGGCTGCAAGCCTGCAAGCTGTCGGTTTGTGGCCTGTCCTGTCTGCGCCTGCTTCCACTTGAAGGTGCTACTGCTCACGCCGACCTGGTAGAGGCGACTTGACCCGCGGGAGTCCGGAAATCGTTGCAAGACTAAGTCGGGCACAAAGTGGCCCAAGGCATTCAGCCAGTGCTCAAACTCCTTTCCGAAAACAAGGCGGGCCGGTCTCGTGGAAGCTCTGAGCAGTGTTTGGTTCACAGCTCTTGCGACAAACACTCATGCAGCAAGGGCCTCCTCCCCAGGAGCAATCAGGATAAGGCCTCTCCTGCCCCGCGCAACAATATCTGTCTTTGACTACATGCAACAGTCCCCGGACTGCTGCTCACTACCTATGCGATGCAGACCCACCTCCGAAAGTGGACGAAGATGCTCAAGTACGGCTTGCAGGCATCCACATCCTGAAGATCCTTCATGTCATACACACCTCAGCAACGCAGCGCCTTTTCCGGGCTATCTTCCGAACAACGTGCATGCCGTGCATGACGACAGGCGGAGTTTCCGAGGTTGATTCCTGCAGGAGGCTGATTCAGCCACGCCACTTATCGGAATTGCTTTGTCCTGCTTCCCGCTGCTAAACAACGACCACGTCTTCCGGGCATGAAGCTCCTGCAAACAGAAACTACGCCGGAGAAAAAAGCTTATGGGACTGCAGCCTTCATTCGTCCGCCTGCTGTGAGAGCACATACTCTCAGTATTGTTGTATATTGTCGTTGTGCGTACGTACCAGTCATCACCATGAGGCATGGTCTCAAGGATTTTGTGGAATCTGGCCGCGAGCATGACCACGATCATGCTTGCCCTGCTGCCCTTCTACACTCTTCCCACCGCACCTCGATCTTGTAGACGAGGCCCTTTGGAGGCCTTTGGGTCCAAATCACCAGGATGCCTGTGTGCTCGTCAAGCTCCACCCAACGCCTTTCAGAGCAGAGCCGAAAACACGCCCCGACAACCACACAGGCACACATGCCTTCAAAACCAGGCATACGCATGTATGCTGAAGTATGCATATATGTAGGCAGGTAAGAAAGCATGCAGGCATGCATATTGTCCACACAGCCGTTTACATGTTTCCTTATGTGTGTGTATGTATATCTATCCATCTCTATATATATATATATGCATATACATATACATATACATGTATACATAGATATTTATATGTGTATTTACATTTATATTTATATATTTATATATTTATCTTTATTTTTCTGTATGTTTAGATTTATTTGCGTAAATGGTCAGGCGCTCCGCGGCTCCCCCGCCTCCCCTCCCATGGTCCATGGTCCAGGATCACCCCCCTCCCTGTGGGTGGGGTGTGGGGTCCCTCTTCCCCCTGTGGTGTGGTTGTGGGGTTTTGGGGTTTAGGGTTTAGCTTAAGCTTTTGAGTTTGGGGTTAAAGGTTTAAGGTTAAAA